ATTCATAAAGACTTCTTCATGTTCATGACAGGTGTTATGTCATGTTTATGACAGTGTCATTATGCACACCCCTTCAAATAAAGTGTTACCACACATTTCAGTGACAATGCTTTTTTTTTTATTAATCAATGAAACTGGAAAGAGCTCACCATTACACGCCAGTTTGCACAACACAAGGTAGCAAATGCAGATTAATAACTGCAATTATTGCCACTTCTATTCAATTAAAATAATTGCAATATTAAAATCACAGAGTTTATTCATTTTTTGCTGGTTCATCAGTTAATTGTCAGAAATTTATTTTAGCTCAAATCATTTTGTTCTGATTTGTTCAGTGTGATTAAAAGAAGTTATGTTTCTGGTAGTTTGATGATGGCAGAGAAGACTATGTGTGGTCAGAAGAAGAGAAATTAGACAAACACAACCTAACCTCCTTCATCAAGGAAAACAGCCTGGAGCTCATTATCCCATTCAACCCCGAGGTAAAGCAGTCAGGCTTATCAACATGATTAGAAGTACAAATTTAAATCTATAATGAAAATATTCATGCTATGTTTTCAGGTAGCAGACAAGATCTTCGCTTCTCGTATCCGCCTGCATAGCCTGCTGTTCATCAACTCCACAGTGCAGGGTCAGCTGGAGCTGGTGGAGCAGGCCAAGGCTGTCGCCAAGGAGTTTAAGGGCAAGGTAAGAGCTGGGCTCTGTCTTTCAGCTTTTTTAATTGCGTTACACAGACATTAATCGGTTTGCCTTGGATCGTGTTAGAAACTGGACTACTTTGTCGAGACAAAGGAATAAGCTCACAACATGAAACTGTTTTAAGACAGATCTTCAGCAGTTAGTAACAGTATTACATAAAAAATTAACTTTTTTTGTTGTTTTGATTTACATCATGTTATAATGTTATTCCCCCATCAAAAACATAGCTGCAGCGTTGCTTAGATTCTTTCATGAATGTTTGAGAAATCCTTTAGGCTAGACTTCAGACTAGCCAGCAGCAGTTTGTAAACACCTGGTGGAACTGTGTGTATCTGCTGAACTCATTATACAAAAGTGCCAACTTTTATATAATTTCTCCATTCAGTTCTGGTGAAAACATTGTTAAAGCGTTAATAGAGAAGCCATGTTGTGATGACTTTCTGAAGGTGGAGTTTCAGAAAGAGCAGGAGTTTTTAAAGAGACAGGGGACCACAATCTTAAGATGTTAAATTACAAAGTAAAATTTATTTTAATTCATATTTAATATTGTAGCCTTTTTATAACATCCAAAGGTAACATTATTACTTGATTGTGCTATAAAATGGCACTGTGTGCCTGGAAAACACATCATACTGACAAAAACTGAACTTTCTGTGTGTGTTATCTAGATGTTGTTTGTTCTGATTGATGTGACACAGGCCCTGTCACATGTGCTAAATTATTTTGGAGTGTCAGAAAGCGACGCACCGACTGCAAGGATCATCCACATGGAAACACAGAAGAAGTTCAGTATTCCCTCTGGAGCTCTAACAGCAGATTCACTGTGGCTGCTGTGTCAGGAAGTTGTTGACGGCATTGCAATGGTAAAATAGATGCTCACCCACTTACTAAATGCAGCTATTCACTCATATTAAATCCAGTCACTTGTCTTGTCACTATGTGCTGCAGCCATACTATCGTTCTGAAGAGATTCCAGAGGAGTGGGACAAAGAACCAGTCAAAGTCCTGGTGGGCAAGAATTTTAAATCTGTGGCTCTGGACCCAGCCAAAAACGTCTTTATTGAGTTTTGTGAGTTAATTTGTGCCATATCAGCATTTTTGCATTTTTGTATTTTTTTTACTAACTGCTCAAAACAGTTGGTTCAAATTACATATGAATACACTTCTGTTGCCTCATTATCATTTCAGTATGATGAAGAGAAAATTAAATACTTGTCAATTTAACTCATTCACAATTATGCAAGCATACATAAACTCTTACCTGATCTATGTGATGAAGGTCAAGGTCACATTTATTCATATTGCACATTTGCAAAGTGCTGTACACAAACAGTAGGTAGAAATAAACAACAATAAGGATAGACAAACACAACACATAAATAGATACAGTAAATAAATATGAATGAATAAAAATGAGGAGAAAAAATTGCAAAAGATTTATACAAATAACTATAAATATTTAACAATAATAAATATCCCTGATGATATCAATCTTTCTAACTTTATATTTGATGTTTCATTTAGTTTTATTTTACTTCATATGTAAGTTAATATTACACTTTATGTTTTATTTTGCAACTTCTTTCAGTGCCCTTTCCTCCCCAGAATTGAAATACTATTGCAAATCTGTTCATATTTAATAATTTATCTGTACAAACCACTAGCTCCAGCATTGTATGACCTTATTATCAAAACCTCGAAATAATTTCCAAAATCAGTTTATTTAGTGAATCAGTAACATTTAATCAAGACTACACAGGTTGAAAGAGAAAAAGTGTTACAGCTGTAAGCATTGGTTACTTGCACCTTCTTTAGTTTATTAATATTTGTTTATTTCTTCTCTATTTGAGAAGTATTGCTTTAAAGCAACACACTATGGTTTTAAGCGCTTCACTTTGCAGTACCACTAAGTGCCATCTTCACAACATGCAGACTCCAATAAAAGATTTTGTTGGAGTTGTTGCATTTTGTCCTTTATTTCTGGAAAATTAAGTGGAAATTTCAACATTACTCAGAATTTTTTGGCCATCCGTCCGTCCATCTCTGGTGGGATGCATTGGGGAATCAGAATTCTGGAAGCAAAAAGCAAAAAAAATTTTGTACCATCCTCACAAGGTTGCATCAAAATTGTTGCTGAGTCAGAACTTGTTTTGATATTTGGCTTATGGAATTATTAATAATTTGATCAATAATTTATTATTGATTAAATTGTTAATAAAAATCTAAGTTACTTACTTAAACCAGGGCACCATCTAGAATTTCTGGAATAATAAGCCAAACTCAGTCTCTGGTGAAGGAATGAATTCAGACCACTGGCAGAAGAAACTCCACACAAGAAGGAATTATCACTGACACATTCATTTTGAATCAAGTCAGAGTTTATTATTAAATTAGCCCAACTTCACAGCTAAATTATTCCCCTTTAACTACTGGCATGCAATCTAACTAATTAACCGATTAAACAAGAAAAGAAAGGGAAAATCCCTTTTGCAGAACCATGAATGCAGCACAATAGTGCTGCCCTTTCCCCTGGCTAAGGAGGATCAAGATCAGAGCAAAAGGGAAGGAGGTCAGGTTACTGTCCAGACCCAAAGTGGCTCACCACTTTGAAACAAAGAGTGGTAAAACTCCACCAGTTGAGGGCTTACATTTAGGCTACACAAAGAAAATATGGTCTTAGACGACCACAAAATACACAAATTTGAAATCAAGGAAAGAAGAGAAGCAGGAACAAGAGGGAGAAGAGAGTGGCTGAAAGTGAGCCAATTAATTCTAGTCATGCTAGCAACAAATGATAAAAATAAAAAAATATGTAATAAAAACTAAAATAAAGTAATAAGAATACATATACAACAATAATAAATAACAATGAGCAGTGATACTCCTAAGGACACACATATTGCTCAGTACATTACTAAATATATATTCAACATGTAAAGCACACAGCTCTGGAGACTACCTATGAATTTTACTTTATAGTCTGAACCTCAGGCAGAAAAGACTTGCTGTAGCGTTTTTTAGCAACGATTACTGGGCTGCAGTAATCGTTGGCTCTGCTCCTCAGGCTGTCCACCACACTGAAGCTATCCTTGATAGCTTTGATCTTCTTCAGCATTCTGTCTCTCTTCACCTCTTCCAGTGGAGCCAGCTTGACCTTCACAACTGGCCTTTATTAATCAGCACAACACTAATCAAGCATGCAATAGAATAGAGATTTAAAGACTGATAATAATCACTCAGTCTATAGTCAGTCAGGTCAAAGCAATGTCCAAAAATCCAAAAATTGATGGAACAGGAAAATACCTGTTCTTTTCCGGCAGAAGGCGTATGGTTGGCTGGCGTCCCAGGTAAGTTTTCAGCAGAACCTCTGGTACTTTGAGGTGGAAAAACCAAGTAAAGTACCCTTCTCTTGGAAAAATGAGAGGCTGTCACCAGCCTCTGCAGGCAGATGCGTCAAGAGACTTTCATGTCTATGCGTTGATACGCAGGGTACGCAGACTACTTTCTATAAGTTCTCCAATGAAGTCTTCAAAGGCTTAGAAATAAATCTTCATCCTGGCCAGCACGTTGGAAGAAAAGGACTTGTGTCTGAGTTGAATGTTGGCTCCAAAGACAAAAGCAAGATTCAGATCTTGTTTTTGTAGTGGGACCAGTTCATATCAGATCATCTCAAAATTTTATTGCAGTAGAGTAGTTCAGCAGTGATGTCTCCAGCCAAAACATTTCTTAGGAATTAGATCTGATCAGTTTGTGACTAGTAAAAATGGATCCCAACAGTTAACAGATCATCTGAATTGAGAGTTTTTGAGGGGTCAATTTTCTTAAACAAATAACCTCAAATATTTAAAAGAGAATGTTGCAGTGACTTAAATATTAAACATTTCTATTATTTCTGCAGTTGCCTGAGTTTCCCTTACATCCTGTCTCTGTTTGCGTAGATGCTCCATGGTGTGGACACTGCAAAGAACTGGCTCCGATTTGGGACCAGCTGGGAGAGAAATATGCTGATCATGAAAACATCATCATAGCCAAGATGGACGCCACAGCCAATGAAGTGGAGTCGCTTGTCATTTCAGGATTTCCAACCATCAAATATTACCCAGCTGAAGGCAAAGAGGTAGAAACTCTCAGCTCACCACAGAGATGCAGAAGTCATACAAAAAATCGACCTTTTCATTTTGCTCCTTTTACTCAGGTGGTCGACTACACGGGAAACCGAGATCTGGAGACATTTAGCAAGTTCCTAGATAGTGGAGGAGTTTTACCACAGGAAGAAAATGGCGAGGATGATGATGATGATGATGATGGTGAGGAGAGCTCAGATGCAAAAGAAGAAGACAGCAGTGGTGATCAAAGCAAGGTTTGCTATTATTTCATTACCTCTTAGCCAATATTACTCATATTTAAAGCTGCAGTCAAACCTTTCTCTTCCCTCTCTGTTCTCAGGAAGTAGACGAGTCTGCAGAAATTTCTGAAAACAAGACGTCCAAAGACGAACTGTAATCGTGCTTAATGCATATTAAGGTCAAGCTATCTTCTTCCAATTTTCTTAGTAAAAGTTATACAACTTATGAATCGTTGTCTCTCTACTGAGAATTAGAATGAGTGTTTAAGCTCTCAGTTTGCTACTTTTAAAACTATTTGATTCTTAAAATGATAAAGTTTGATTTGACAACTTGAGGACAAAGAATAAAGCTGTATTAAGGAAAGAAACAAAATTATTTATTTATTTATTTATTCTTCCTTGAAGAATAAAAGAAGAGCAGAAAAGTTGTTGGTAGCTGGAAAAATCTTGAGACAGAACAAAAATTTCAAAGCATACAATCAGAGCTGCAATGGAACTATTAAATGAAAACATTTTCATATGAGGACCGCCTGTTTAAAGTCCAGGCTTAAATTTAATTAAGCCGTGGCAAGATTTAAGAGTTGGTGTTCACAGACACTGCCAATCTAATGTGACTGAGCTGAAGCCATTCTGCAATGACGAATGGACAAAACAATTATTGTTTCAATGAATGCAAAGCTGGTAGAGTGACACCCCTCCCCCTTTCTTTGGTTGAGGTTTTGAAAAATATGTAAACAAATAAGTAAGTTAACAAATAAGAGAGACAGGAGGAAAATGTCCTTTCAGTGACAGTAAGATGAAGGCCAAGTTTTCAGATTACAGCTCAGAATCAGTGTGTTCAGTTGAATGATGATTCATCTTTGTGTTCAGTGATACATCCATGAGTCACAACTCTGCAATTTATTTTCCAAGATTACAGCATTCTTTGAGTCCTCTCAGCATGTCTGACAGCTGAAACTTTACCCGATAAGGGCAAACTAACTGCTTTTCATTATCTAATAGCTTCTTGCCCCTGAAAACACCCCAAAAGAAAGATCCAAAACACAACAAAGAAATAACATAACAGTGCCAACAATTTTACAAATTTTGCAGGATTTAGGTGAAGAAAATGTTCCATTGGATGTTCTAAATTAATATCTAAGAACATTTGTTATGTTCAACCAACAATTCTTAAAGTAGTTAGTAGTTCTAGATTCTAAATACTTTGAAGGGGCTGAAATACCACATATCTGTATGATGAAAATTATGAACTATATTTGTGGAACTTGATGAAAGTCATTGTTATGTCTATGTGCCTCCATATATAGAGTGAGTGGGTGAGGCCCACAGGTGAGTGTATCATCTCCGCCCAGGAGGAAACCAGAAAGGCTGGTTTTAACATGTAACAAGTGAAATGTTTCTAATTCCTGAGGGAAAACAGGTTTAAACAGGCTGTATGTCACAGCTCCTATCAGCATAGAATGTATTTCCTTCTACCAGCCAGGCGACCAGTCACTCCTTTGTCTGAGGTAAGGTCACTACTCCTATAAATCTTCTTTCCTCTTGTTTGAAGTCCGGATCACAAACTGTGTTTGGACCTGGTGCTTGTGATGAATGTGATAGGGCCAGTTAGGATCGGATCAGTGGACAGGCTTGAATGTGTCCTGTTTACAAAAGAATGAAATCCCATGTGAACCGGAACGACTTGACCACATTCAACAGGTATGTCTAAAGGCTGATTCTGCTGGATCAGAAGAACATCTGCATAATTTTTGGTTACTTGAATCTCATGGATGGCTAAATAATAAACATTCATTTAATAAAAAGTGCAACTGTTCAACAGAAACTATCTCCAAATCAGTTGAATTTGAATAAACTATCAACATTTTCAAATTACTCCTAATGTGAAGTAATCACAAAAAGTTACAAAATTTTATTTTTAGGTGATTTTTTTAAACATAGTAGTTGTACTTGCAGACAAGCTGAATATTGAAGTGTGAAACTAAAGTCAGTGCTCTTGTTTTGTTTGTGTCCGTTTAAGTCTGTTGGGTTCCTGTTAGGCAGGCTGAGAGCTAAACTCAGCGTTAAAACACTCACACCCTGTCATTGTTCAGCAGCGTGGGGGAGGAGCTCCTGCCACATCTCAATCACAGCTCCACATTCAGCAGAGGCTTTACATTACAACTGCAAATACCCAAACAGCTCATTAACTTCCTATTTCTGGTGTCAACATTATGTACCTGATCATGTTACATATAAAAAGATATAATGCACAATGATGCAGTGTATAACACAAACTGATTTTGGAGCCATCCAGTGCAGGGCTCTAGTCAGGTCAACTTAGCACACCTCGTGAAGCAAAGTATGGAGCGCAATGACTGCTTTTATCCATTTCTCACTCTACTCCCCCACCTAATTGGCCTTGGTCAAACAGGTGGGGGAGAAGGGGATGTCCATGTCGCTAATATTAGAAACCACCACTGTTCAGTAGCAATAAGCTTTGGATAAAACATTGTGGTGCCCATAGAACATTGTTTTCACAGTTGGTGATGAACATATCATATAACATGAGATGGGATCTATGTGTTTTATGTAATTGTCTTTAGTCATGCCTCATTTCTTCCTGTTTTATTGTCCTAAGCGCTTCAATATTTAAGCATAATTGCATTGTATAAATTATAACATGCACTGCTCCAAGGTGAATCCTGAGTTTTTTCAAAAAGGTAAATGTGTGACTCTTTAGATCAAACAATGTCCAACCAGTTTCCTGAAAAACTAAATAAAGGACTAGGAAGCCCAAAGTCGCTCCTGGAGAACAGGTGTTCTAACTATCTGTGCATGGCATCCTGCATGTTTTAGTTCTCTACCTGGTTTAACACACCTGGATCAAATGATGGCTCATTAGGACTAAGAAGAACATGGACTTGCTGAGGAGGTTGTTACGACCACCCGGGAGAGAACTAGAACATGCAGGATGCCGGCCCTCAAGGACCCACTTTGGGCACCACTAGCATAGAACAACACAGAGAACAACAAAATTCTACACTTCTGACAATGGAAGGACAAGGATTTGGATGGAGTCAACAGCCAGAGAGAAGAAGAATCATCAGGCAATGGTTTATAACCCACAACAAGATGCTGATGGAGTTCCTCACACTGCTCTTCATTCCTTAACCCGATTGAGAATATTTTCTCAGCATGAAGATGGAAAGACTGAACTGTAATTCCTGTAACACTGCATTTACAGGTCTTATGTTCCCATTGCTACTTTAGTTTTTATTTTTTGTGCTCTGCTTTTGTCTGTCAACAAAATACAGTAAAAGCCTAGATGGGAATCTTGTCCAGTCACTTGCCATTGATCTCCCATAATTACAGTGTACAGTACTTGTCATCAAAACTATAGCCATAGTCAGTGGTGAAGGAAGTACTCAAAAAATTTACTTAAGTAAAAGTACAAATACACAGACAAAAATGTACTCAAGCAAAAGTAAAACTACCACA